ATGCCTAGACGCTCCGCTGCGCCCTGCCGACGGAGTTCTCGATGCTTCGCGATCATGGTTGCGAGAGTAATCTTGCACGCTGGCCGCATTCAAAGTCCGAGGTTCTGTGGTGTTGATGAAGCTCGCGGCCATGTTGAGAGGTCTGGTCAAGGGTGAGGGCTCTGCGCGATGGGCAGATGAGGATGCTAGTGATCTGCGTGTGAGCGCCCTTCGGTACTGTTGTGTTTCGGTCTCTTCCACCCAATCGACAATCTCTTGTTTGGATGCCACTTGAGCTGGTAGCGGAGAAGGCGAGCGAGAAAGGACCAGCGCTTGCTGCGATGGAAGAATCCGCGGTTTGCCGGGTTGTTGCAGAGGAAAGTCAGAGATCGGCAAGCTGTCTGAGCGGATGACGCTTGGCTCGGCTACTAAGCAGGCCAGACTTGTCAAAGCGGTAAGCTCGGAGGTCGACTCTTCGTCCCGATCGAATGCGTGTCCGAGTCGATGCAGTCCAGCAGACTGTTGCAAGTATCTGTCTTTGTGCGCGTCGGGCGATCTCGAAGCCCAAGTTGGACGGCGGCCGACAGTGGCTCTGCTTCCGTCGAGCGGGCTGCTCGCGACCAATGGGCTGCGGTTGTACGGCGAATCTGACAAACGTTCGCTACCGTCAGACGACGATGCGAATGACATTCGGATGGTGGTGCGAGAGATGGAGCCGTGCCAGGCGGAGACACTGGATGTGCGAGGGCAACGAAGTTCTGCTCAATGTTGGCGAGTTGCGAGCATGACGAGGGGAGGAGGAATGATTGCGGATATCTGCTTAGTATGTAGGTTACCTCCCCTCGGCCCCAGCCTCCCCCCCGATTCACTACTGCTTGCAAGCTAATGGCCTGCTTGCCGGAGGAGAATGTGAGGGTCTGCACCCTGACTTGTGGTGCGGACAAGATGCGGACGGTCTGAGCGGACCTAGAAATGCGATGCTCACCATGCATCGGTGTGAGACAAGTGCAGGATGGGGAAGAAGATATGGCAAGT